TCACACTCTCTCTAACAAACACACCCTCTCCCCCCTCCCATCCCCTCCCTTTCTTTCTCTTGTCGCGACTCGCTTCAAGCCTGTCATGATGCACAGCGACTCCCATCTCTCCACGGCGGCTGCCGCGCCTCCGCAGCACCCGCCCGCCGCCACCTCGCGCACCACCCGCGCTCCGCGTCGCCCCGGCCGTCCGGCTACATACGTCTTCGACCGCCCGGACGAGGAGCTTACAGATAAGGAGCGCAAGCTGAAGATCTCCATCGAGAAGAGGCGAGCTCGTCAGAACAAGTCGTACCACAGGCGTCGCAATGCTGCCCGCAAGCAAGCCAATGCAGCTGCGGCCGCGGTTACCGCCGCTTCAGTCGCAGCATCCATCCCGCTCTCTTCCACCCCGCCCGTGTCTGCCGCCACTTCTATGCATTCATCACACAACAACCACAACTCGCTTTGGGGGACTACTATCGCCGCTTCTACCTCAACAGCCACGCTCCCGCTTTCCATCCCACCAGCTCCGCAGCTCCTTCCAGGCTTTTCTCAAAATCCTTTAGATCTCCTCGCCACCGCTGGCGGCAGTCTCGGGCCTGTCCCGAGCACATGCGCCTCCTCTTCCGCGGCCACAACCACCCCGAGTGCTCTCTCTGCGTTGACAACTACCACTACTGACAAACACTCCGACGCCATTTCGGACGACCCTTCTGCGCGCTCCTCCCTCTTTCGAGACACCTGCATGTCCGACTCCCAGCATCATTCAATCCTCCCGCCGGTTGAAGAGGTCGACGCCACTCTCTGTATGCCGTCCTCCTCGCAGCCCCTAGACATGTCCTTTTCGTTTGGCTTTTCTCAGCCGAAAGAAGAGGACGAGGAGCAGGCTACGGACGTCTTCGTCAACTCCGCTCTTGTCGCTGCGAAAGAATACGCGAAGGCCCCAATCAATTTGAAAGATGTTCTAGACAGGGAGAACGAACTACGACGCATGACTGGCATCAAACAGATTGTTTTCGATAACCTCCGAACAAAGTACATGAATATGACTCCCTCGATGAAGGACGCTTTGCGCCACTTTGTCATCTTCCCACGCACTTTCAATCTTCGCGCCGCCGTCGCTGTCGCTGGTTTGGAGGAGACACAGCTTGTTTCCATGCAAGGCATGTTGGAAAACATGATTCAAACTAATTTCATCACTACAGACAAGGGTCGCTACGAACTCAACGAAGCCGCAAGGCTTTTCCTCTACGAGGACCCCACTGTCATGGAAGACACCATGACGAGTGGTACGACAGATACCTCGCAAGCTCGTTTCATCGACCATTATCGCACTCAACTGTCACGCTTGCAGGATGACAACATTCACAAAGTCGGCTGGCTCCGGGAGGAAGCCATGGCCTTGTACGATGCTGAGCGCCAGAATATGGAATTCTCAGAATACCTTCTCACAGGTCGCCAAGCAGAGCTTCGCGAGTTCTTATCAGCAGGAATTACTGTTATGCGCTACTGCGTCAGTGCAGGCAATAGAGAACGCGTCTTGCGCAAGGCGCTACTGGAGGACGAAACCTCGACGGAAAACATCTTTTTGTCGTTCGGTGACGATGGTGCCGGTCTTGACGCCGCCTCCTCTTCTAATGCTAGCGGAAATGATGAATGTGACAAGTCTCATAAGGCTCGCCTGCACCTTGCCCTCAGCGAAGCCTACTTCGATCAGCTCAAGACGGATGATGCGGAAAAGCCACTCTTAGAAGCCCGTAAACTCATGTGCGACTCCTCCCCCCACTGCCGCACAACAGCATCCGCCGGTGTTGTTGATAGAGTGCTTGTCTTGTTGCTCTTATCAAATTTGAGACTCTCGTCCCGTCGCTTCAAGCAAGCAAGTGCCTACTGTGTCCAGGCATTGAGAATTCTGTCTGAGGCCGGGCTTGGCCGGTCCACATTTGCCATTAATGCCATGTCTAACCTGGTGACCACCTATCTAGAAGGTGACAGCTTGGATAAGGCCAAATCAGTGGCCAACAGACTGCTCGATACACTGAACGTTATGAGGTACACAGGAATGCCCATTTATGCAGATGCGTTGGGAGTTTGCGCCATGGTCTCTATGGCTGAGGAGAACTATGCGGAAGCTGAGCGCCAATATGGGACGGCCCTGGAAACGGTCGGAAAATGGGGCTCGAAGGAATGGACAGGAATCCCCGTTCAGCATTGTCTCGATCTTGACGTTTGGTTGATGGAGGGTCTCGCTGAGGCCATCCGGCGGCAAGGTAGAACTGAAGAGGCGCTGGCTCTCGAAAGACGGGCAGCGGAAGACCGGAGGAGTCGAGGGCTACCGCCGAATAGCACAGGAACTGAATTCTTTGACCCTGCCAGCGGCTTTCAAGATATCTCACCAAGTGCCCTTGTGATGCCAAAGCTACGGCATCTCTACTAACGAACTACTGCCAGTTGTTTTGCCGACGTATGCCTTTTGATACCAAAACCACCGACGAATTCTGCTTCGTCGGGCAAATAAGAAGTCCACGGCGTACCATTTCAGTCCCCCATCTCTGCAATTGTATCCGGTGGTCTCAGCAGGCAGCGATATGACAGCCAGCCTGACATTCTGTAGACATCGGATATGGAAAGAAACAGCAGTGTACAGTACCATTCAAGGTGGGTCTAGAATCGTAGACGTAGAAGCTTTCGTCATTGCTTCATGGTACAGTTTTTGTTGCACAGTGGATGCTTCTTGTAAATAGTATCGAAGGGGAAACTCTTGACGGTACTAACTCTAAATTTCCGCGGAGTATGATCCATTTCCACGTTAGAGCAGTCCTTATTTTTTTATGTCTCTAGCGATCCGAACAACTACATCCGCAATGAGCTCAGGAGCCTCCATCCCCCCGACACCAATATCTCCACAGGCAAGCTTTTTCTCCACGGGTGGTATCACAGTGACGCCCCATTCTGTTACTTTTCTTATCTGGACCGCGGTGACGGGATGCAACCACATTTCAGAGTTCATGGCCGGCGCCACGATCATAGGCCCTGCGCCTCCCTCCCCAATTCTCCAAGCACGGGACACGCAAGTCAATAGATTGTCACACAAGCCACCAGCCAGCTTCGCAAGAGTATTTGCAGACAACGGCGCGATGATTAATAAATCCGCCCACCTTCGTAGCTCGATGTGCAGCACTGGGTCACCCAGTTTGCCCCAGTTTTTCCATTCATCATCATCAGAATACACGCGGCCTTCGAGCTTGCGTTCCTTCTCTAGAAACACTCTCGCCGCTTCACTAACAATAACTCGCACCTCAGCCCCAAGTTCTCGCAACGCCGACACCAGGTGAGGAGCACGAATCGCTGCAACTGACCCAGTCACACCCACCAACACATGAACGTCAGAGAGTGCCATGTAGTATTTTGGTGCCGGAAGTATCGCCGTTTCGGCGAAGAGGGCCGTTTCGGCGAAGAGCTATAGGCCAACTGACTAGAGGCCGACTGGTTAGCTAACTGGTCACACCAAAAAAAAAAAACGACTGAAATCTAAAATGCCTTGATGAGTCCAGTGTGCTCTAGACATCCATTCAAAAATATTATTGGATGGCAGATCTTCCATTATCACTTGTTCCGGCTATCATGATTGCAAGGTACTCGGGGAAGGGGTAGAGAGGCCTGCACGGAAGGGCGGGGAGGCGTGCGATCAAGGATATCAGGCACCATGCTGGACCAGCCATAACTGATGGTTCTACAATCGCCCTGTTGAAAATTCCATCGACAGTTAGCACTCCACTACGTGGTGTCCGAACCTCGCATAAACTACAGTCGACATTCTGTCGGGTTGGTTAGAGGAGACAGCCCTTCCTACTTGCCTCTGCTGTGTGTAAGAATGACACAGCTATCGCATGCACAGTATGCTCAAAAAGTTGGCTTCGGCGACTCTATTGGCCCCGTGTTTTGCTTCATCATCCCATTGACACTTCAAGAACAAGAAGGTTGCTCCTGATCTAGTTTAGTAAGCGATCCTTCCCTCACGGCGATCAAGCCTACACGCTTGTCTCCAACGAAGAAAAGCCTTCAAGAAAAGCGCATGCTCTTGCGTTTGGAAACTTCTGCAACCATAAAAATAGCTCGAGAATTATCTGTTTTGAGGAAGCGCTGCCAATAATATTAGCGGGCCTTGTTTCAACATGCCATTTAAACATTCATTTGCAACATAGCGTTTGCACGATCGCAACCTGCAAAATACGGCCCAGGCTTTCACAGCAGTCCCGAAACAGGGTTCCGTCAAATTGTTAAAACTCGAAAGGCCAGGCCGTGGTACACGCATGCAGGGTGTGTGTGCAAATTGAAAATGTAGTACTGTACCTTGGGTACTGTATGCATGCCGTACGGTTAAGAAATGGTTCTTCCTCCTCTGATGCCACTCATGGCAGTCATTCCGTTCAGCTTAATCCGTACCTTGAGGCCACTCCTCAAGGCAAACTTGATTGGAACATGAATAACCCCCCGAAGATTCAAACCTGGGATTCTCTTCGCTGAAAACGTCATTATAATTGTGAGGTAGACATCCCGAGCTTCGACACATCCCCATTCCTAAACTCCCTAAAAAACGACAGAAGCTTGGCTCAACTTGCGCCAAATCCAAAAACATGCTCCTACAGGAAACTGTATCCCCATGTATCCCAAGAACGGACCGCTTCGCTGCGCTGCGTGTGCATGTTACATGCTTATCAGCGATTTTGCTACTGTAAAATGCCGAGCAGCTTGATATGTTGTGGAAAGGAAATAGACCCCCTGGACAGAGGCGATGAACATCCATACATAAGGCATCTGGGGAACGTAAGCTATTCCAAAAATGCCTGTTTGCAGGCTCAAAGTATACAAACTGTCTGTATAGATGGACTGCCTCTTCCTCCTGGGAGTAAATTTCTGTAATTCTCGGGGTACAGCCCTCGAAAACTACGAACTCAATTTTGGAAAAGGAAAAATGCCCAGCAGAATGGTGAGCAGCATAACTAACGGAATTCGGCGTTCTCCAAAAAATTGTGCTCAAGTCTATTCTGCTCTTCCAAAGCGGGCCTTTCAACAGCGAGCTTCTCCAGAGAAGATACTGCTTGATGTTTCGTCGTGGAAAATGAAAGGATATGCCGATTGAAAAAAGTCGAGCACCAGGCGAGAGTATAGAATCGATTCTCTCCGACCACGCAGTAAGGTCATTTTCGAACTCGACATCCTCCTCGACAAAGCGATGTATAAATTCCAGTCTTTGTTTTCGAAGACGCTCGGGAGTAGAGGCAGGGTCACAGTTCTCCGACCTGTCTGATGGCGGTAGTGAATTAAATATCGGACAAGTACTGGATATGATTCCACGCCCGGAAGTCGGAAGTTTGATATCGGGATGAAAGTATTCATTCATATGGCAGGCTGATGTACGAAATTGAAATGCGTAATAGTCCATGGCAAGATTGCAAGCAGCGTTGAATGCATTGCTCTCACACCAGCACATCCCAATGTTCCATGACCGTAGCGCCTCACAGCAATGTTCAACATTAGAATGCTTGGTATCGGCGCAGTAGCTCATCAAACCAATGAGCAGCTTTCCACAATTGACTGATGATATCTCCTCGGGCTGTTGGTCGTCGATAGATCTAGCGATTCCATGCTTCCAGACGATGACGCTCATGCAGAGAAAGACCAAAACATGATTTCGTGTAGCCATGTTTGGAATATTTATGCGATGATCGCAAAGGTCGCCCGTAATGCAGTGGCGATCATTGTGCCAGACCTCCACTGCATGTAGAACAATGCTGGACAGTTTATTGGATTTATGGGCCGCAGCCTACTTTTTCTTGTCCCACCATAAACACTTTTCCAGTGCTATTCCAGTACTCTTCGGAACAAGTCATATACACAATTGAACCGACCCTGGCGCCGTAGAAAGAAAACATCCTCTACGCCTACGCCTTCTTCCCATGAATCTGATATCGCACCCTGCCCTAGTGCTCAAGTATCGTGAACATCAATTTTAGAATACATTTGTGTAAGTCAATACCTGAGACTGATGTCTACTCACCCCGCCGACCGCCAGGGGTGATGAATCTGAGCATATTATTCCTCGGATATTAGCACCAATTTTAGTTCTCACACCCTAGGATAGCAATCCACAGGTGGACTTCACGTTTGTCACATGATTGGCCACCACCCGCAGCTGTTGCTCTAACAGTGTATGGTAGCTTCGGCGAGATCTACTTGAAGAGAGGACCACTTTTCTACATTTCATCAAACATTATAGAAGAATTCGCGTTAAGAACCAAAAAGTACAGAAACAGGTACATCAAAGATAGGATTTTTTCCATTTGGCAAGATTATGCCTCCTCCGCCCAGTTTTGTCCACTATTGTATAGTAAATGGGTGAATTCATTTTGGAAGGATATGCTACTCCTTTTAACAATCTATAGGCCAACATTATGACTTCGATAGTGAGACCACCTGGAGTCCAATCGAACATATGAAAGGGGATATTTCCATCTCTAATGTTGAATCTCTTCCAGTCGCACCAAAGGAGAACTGTGGAGAAGAGCCATGGAGCTGTGTCGATTTCCTTCACTTCTCTATTGAACTAACTTCTTGTGGGTCCTGTGGATTCCCCCAATAGTCTTTACCCCAGTGTGCCCGCAGTGCATCTTAACCTCACTTGAGGGTCAAAGGTGGGCATCTGTCTTTCACGTATGGGGGCGGATATCTTACAGATTAGGTGTGGTGTTTGTGTGTTTCAACAGTTTAAGTTAAGGGCTTTGATAATCAAAACCAACATGATATCATGAATCGTCTTCTGAGGGCAGCGTTGCCCAACGCTCCCCGGAACGTGAGTGTTTACATGAGAAGCTTATGTTGAGTCGGTTTTGTCTTTGTCAGAGTCAAGAAAAGTCAGGCTGGTTTACTGTTACGTGACTTAGGCTGATTTATGGTGAATGACTGAAATAGTAACTCGCCAATATTATAGCGAAGCCAATATGCTCCTTCTGGTCATTAGTATGCTTCGCAAGTGAAAATAGCATGACACGTTCTAGAAGAGACATATCATCGATTCTCAAGATATATTTAGCTGTATCTTGCCGTTCTCAGCCAAGCTCTTCTGCCGAAAGTCGAATTGGACGCCTCAGACTAAGCTATTTTATTGGCTCTTCCCCTTCAACCATGCCAGTGACCTCAACAGTTCTCTATGTTGCGGTCAGTCCGCTTTCTCGAAGGGATTGGAGATGAAGGGCAGCAAAAACCTCAGTCAACTCATTTTCTTCTACAATTCTGTATGCTTCGCGAAGCCCACTGATGATTGCGGACGCGCATGTAGTTGGATATTGCCGAGTAGTATGTTCGCCACCAAAGAACACTCGCCGGTCTACAGGAGCTTCAATAATGTCATAATCAGCACCACTTGATCCTACTGGAATGTTAGTGTACACTCCCCCTGAAAACTCATCCTTAGACCAACGTGAAACTGAGAATGCTTTTGGGTTAGGAGCGTCGGGATAGCATCGCCGCAGGACTCGGACAGCTCTATCAACAATCTCGTGGTCTGACAGACTTTCCATTGCCTGTACACAAGGTTCAACTACAAGGGTCATTAATACCGGTTTCTTCGTACATGGAGCCAAGTTCCAAAAGAAATAAAACTCTCCTCTCTTCTCTACCGTTTCTCGCAGTGCCCCGAACATGTCATGCTTCACCCAGAACTGGCTGTTGAATTCCATCGCTACCTTCATGAGACCTCCGAAACCAAGGCGATTGATAGCTGCGAGTTTCTTTGAGGGAAGGGTTGGTCTAAATTCGATAGTACGTTTCTTGAGTACCCCTAATGGCACGGTAACCACGACAAAATCAAATTCATGTTCTTCAACGTAACCACGATGGTTTTCCACTTCAACCAGTACAGATCCGTTCTCTTCAGAGTAATCAATTGCTGATACCTCTGATCTCAACTCCAGCATATCCCCAAGCCCGTCGACCAAACCATTAATGAGTGGATCATAACCTTGCTTTAAGAGAACGTGTTCACCTGAAAACCCGTATGGATCATCCTGATCCCAGTGTAACAAACTCACTTTGCTTATGTCTGCGGCACATCCGTACTCGAGGTTTGCTATGTGCCACCGTAAAAGGCGACATGCCACCTTCTCGTCCATTGACTGGAACTTTTTCTCAGAATGCCCATTTCGAAATGGTGCTCGTGCTTCCACCGCGGGGCGCCCAACCTGCGATTTGGCATTACCATTAACCACTTTCGACCTCTTTCTTGGCCGCTCTGAGTTCTTTGGCGGCTCAATTACCCCCAAACAACTTGAACCACCATCCGCGTGGTGGGTTGGTACACTATTAGATACTAGTAAGTTTGCTGGATCTCTTGAATTGTTCAATGGAATATTCAAGTATTCACTGTCATCCTCCTCACCACTACTATCACAACGACGTGCTGTCTTTCTGTGCAAGGTCCTTAATGCACCCCGATCCCCTTCGCCGTTCGCAGCCCTCACTCTGGCCTTTCTGCGACGAACTCGCTTTTCTAACGCCATTTGAAAGGCTTCACCCAATGACAGTCTCTTAGCTACCTCAGAGCAACCCTCTTTGTCCCTGAAACGACCTGTGTCATCTAAAATACGATTGAACTCCCTCTCGGCCCATGCATCAGTCTCTTTGGGAACCCAGCTACCGTCGATATCAAAAAGAGGACACTCGGAATCCAGGAAATGCAATGGGGAATCTGTTTGGTGGGCGAGAACTGCGACAGGATTTTGAAGGATCCCAGTAATAAGCATAGCACCCATGTCGACGCTTACGGAGAACTTGTCCCTCTCGGCATGCACACGGCCTCCCGGGCGCTTTCGGGCTTCAAATATTCTCACTTGAAATCCAAATGCCTGTAACTGCCGTGCTGTTACTAAACCTGCCATCCCAGCCCCAACGATAGCAACAGTTTTGCATGCAGCTTTGTTCCCTCTCTGAGAACCAACGGCTGATGTCAGAGGAATTGCTCCGAAATTAATTATCCCCGTGCATTCTAAGTGAGTGAAAATTCGACATCCTAGCATACGGAAACGTTTCGGCACATCTGCTAATGCGCTTGCTACTCCCATTCTTGCACGGGTGTCCCGGTACCACATCCGGATTATATGATTGCGAAGGTCTACGAGAACCAGAGGAGGTTCCTTAGATTGAAAAAGCGGATGATTTGCTTGAGCAGGCTCCAGAGAGTTCTCGCTCAGACGGGCTCGGATCACTGCTTGCGTAGTTTCTGGGAAGCGCAGGAAAGTTTGTTCTTCTTGTGCGTCTGGGTCGACGCTCTTTGACTGTTTGAAGGTATTTGCTCTGTCTCTTAAGGCACTCGAGAAGCCAGACGGTAGCAGGCTTTGTTCACACCGCTCCAAAAACCATCTATGACTAGGACTTAAAAGACTTATCTGGGCATATGTTGTTTCTAGAAGTGATACTAGAACGTCGTCGAAATCGTTGCAGTAGCGCTCGTAGTTGTTTCGCATAATAGGAGCGTACCCAACTGCCGAAGCCGGGAGAGCCAAAAAATCCCGTATCAATGCAAACTGGCGCCTTTCGGTGACTTGATCGATCCCTCCCAGGGCCCGGGTTGCTTCGAATAATCCATAAAGATCTGAAGCAGCGTTTTCGAGGACAAGGTTTCGAAGAATTGCGTTTAATGTCCGTAGTGATATAGAAGAAAGGGGGGCAAATAACCAAATGTTAGATTCGAGGAGTGTTATCCGACAGAGTGCTACGTGTGGCGTTTATATAGATCACAGAAAAAGGTCATTTGAGACGTACCAAACTTCTTGGCAACGAAGTTGGGCCATGAGAAAGGCATGTTTGATGTGCTATGCCTGTCCCGCACAGCGTTGTCGAAAGCTACACGACCATGCAGGCGTGCCAATGGGTCGTCAAGTGGCGGCATGAGGAGCCGGAAAGACGATCGACCGCCACGAACTGTTGTTAGCTTTGTGAACGACGAGTACTCTCTACGGTGAAAGAGGGTATGGGTACTTCGATTAGCTGTGATGAACTACCAAAAACAAGCTTGACTTCAGCGAGATCAGACTATATGCGGCAAGTGCGGAGGAGCACCCGCTACTGGCGGAACAAAAATCCCTCCCAGATCAGACGCAACCGCTTCGTCAACAGCTTCCTCTGCTGCAAATGAAATGGCAATCTCACTGTAGAGATTCGGCATTGAATGCACTTCAGGATGACATGAGCAGCACACACTTCGTTCTAATTTTGCTCAAACGACCTCGGAACCCACTCGTTTGTTTGGCCAGAACTACAAGCACTCCCCACCGAAGATCAAGTACCGTGCTTTGGGTACAGCAATAACCCTGCTTGCCCATGCAAAGTATCTTTCGCAGGCTTTGCCCTGTGGTATGCCACACGCGGTGGCTGGCTGAAATCTCTTATTGGTGCAACAGTTACTGTACAGGAAAAAACTAAATCCATTTTTTGTTTTGACTTTCTCAAAAAAAAGAATGATTTGCCAAAAACACGTCATGGCGTCATCTTTGAGTGCTATCGCACTCACGAGGCCAATAGCCGCAAAGCTACCTGGCTTAGAGGTTGTTGGTGGTGAAGTGGGGGAGGCGGTTTTGGGGAGTGTGCCGTTCCGTCGTGAGGGTTGGCCGAGTGTTGTCCCCCCTTCCCCGCAGCGCCCGTCACCCTCTCTCTTTTATTTCTACGAAATTCCTTCCAGAAGCGTCCACGCGTCCGGCCCGGATTCCGCCGGGCCGTACGCGTGCGCTTCTCTAAAATTCAAATAAAATCTCGGACTACAGAATAAAATCTCCCTCTACAGTAAAATGCAATTTTTCCCTAAAAATATCTCACACGACCCCCTCGTCAGGGCAGACCACGGGGCTGCCGTTGCACGTAAATATACTGGCCCCGCTTCCTCGCGTGACCGCTCTGGCCCCCCCGGCCACTGTCTCTCCACCTTCCACCGAACCTAGCTCCCTTCTATTTCATCCGCTCCACCGCCATCTTGCGCCGACTACGCTCGCATCGTTTCTTTCTCGCGCCGCCCCCGGCACTTCAGCCTCAACTTCGGGCGGTGTGGTCTCCGCGTCGCCCGAACTTGTGGTTTTTACGTCTAGCGTCACCGTAGCCCCGGGTCGCGTGGTCTCCGCGTCTCCCGGGCCTCCGGCCGTTAATCGTCCGACGCCGTCTGAGCCTCAGGCCGCGTGGTCTCCGCGTCGCCTGAGCCTCCGTTTCTCGTTGTTCCCGTTTCGGGACTTCGTTGAAACGCGCCGCGTTCCGAGCCACGCACGAGAGGTCTGTGGTCCTTCGGGCGGTACTCTCTGTGCGACATGGCTCGGACCAAGCAGACGGCGAGGGCTTCCACTGGCGGGAAGGTCCCTCGTCGAGCGATCGCCACCAAGGCGGCCCGTCGTTCGGCGGGCCTGTGGCGCGAGAACGGGGAGGAGGTCCGTGAAAGGGCGTCCCACCGCGTCAACCGAGCGTTCATTGACTTCGAAGACTCAAGGAGTGCTGAACACCTCTCAACCCTTTGGGAGCACGCCGGACGCTCCGATGTATCCGCGGTTAGGTATCAGGTAGGAGATGGATCCTTCCGCATTAGATACAAAGAGGTCGGTAATCGTGCACCCGTCGTGGCGGCCGTCTCTGCCGCCGGGGCCCGACTTCTCTTCGGGCCCCATGTGCTGGCATTCGTCGCGGCTCGTTTGTCCCGGAAAGCTTGGTCCACTGCCGACCGGTGCTTCCGGCTCGGGCTCACCGAGAGTCACGGCGACGAGAGAGAGTACCACTGCTGCGACGACCCCGATTGGGTCGTCGAGCTGGTTTGGTGCTCCGACGGTAGCAACGGCGAAGCCCAGGGGTGCTATTACGCCGTCGGGGAGGGGAGCCAGGATAAGTACCTTATCCTGCTCTACACGATGACGTTCGATCGTGTGCCCTCCGAGAACGAGGACGCCCGCCGGGGCTTCAACTCTGCCTTCGGGTGAGACTCCTCGACACGTATGGACGCAATCCTGGCCATCGACAACTGGCGTAGCCAGAATAGGGGCAAGAAGAAGCGCGTTAACTACGCTATGTCTCGCAACGTCTCTCCCTTGGCATCGCGGTATTTCACCAGGTCTCAGCCCGTACCGTTTCAAGACAACACCATCCTCTGTCTCCGTTCTGCCGTCTGCAACGCCATCTCACTTGTCGCTGGCTGGCGCGCTGCCGACCGCGTCTGGGCGGCGGAGTCGGAACGAGTCACCGAGTTCGAGCGCCGAAAGAACTATTCGCCGAGCGTTCATCACTTCACTCATGTCCAACGGACCCTTCAAGCTGATTACCACGGCACCGTATCCTTGGATCACGTGGTTCCACCGCCTTAATGACATCCATCGCTTCCAGCACGCTATTTGTCTGGACGCACGGTCGGAACCGGCGCTGATATATGACTGTGCTGAGCGATATGCCATGCAGCTCACGAGCAGTTCTCTCCGCTTGTGCTGCCCCGCTGGCGATCCGACCAAGTTTCAGTACTTCGACGATATGGGCGTCGTGCACCGAATGGCAAAGCGGGATAGAAGCGATGGCAAGATTCTCGGTCAGGAACACAAGAAGAAGAGGGTTCGTCGAGGTAATCGTGGCCCAACCCTCTCACATGGTAAGGGTCGTCGTGCGAAAGGATCTCTCAAGTAATCGACCAAAGATAGTTCATCCAAAAGAAACGTAATTCATCCGAGTCATCTTCAATCTAGTGCATGTGTAGGTAATCAATGCATCACATCTACATAAGATGTGCGGGTTTCTGAATAAAAGGGATTAAACGTCTTGCATGTATATCCCGTCGACTGTAGCGCAATCCCGGCGACACGAGTGTGTACCGCGGGTGCTTGGCTCGTACTACCCGGCATGGGCCGTAGTACTTCGACTCCCCTAGGGGCCACTTCTGTAACCCTCCTAGGGCTGTTCCTCGGGCGACCAGAACTTGATCGTGTACGTCGAACTGGCGTGGCGACACAACCGTCATTCTCTTGCTCCTCTTTTCCAACTGTTTAGCCGCCCTCGTCGATCGGAGCGCGAGCGTCGCTAACAGTTCCAAGTTGCGCGCCTCAACGCCGCCCCACCGGATTTGGTTCAGTTCGGTCTGGGGTTGCGCGGGCGGCTTTACTCCATACATCAGCTCAAACGGGGTGAACCCGTCCGACAGCCGGCGTCGGCGGTATCCGTACAGGATCTGCTTCAGCGCTGATTCCCACTTGTGGCCTGCGGCGCCCTGTCCCAACAGAGTCTTCTGAATTGAACGCTTGATGGTCCCGACCATTCGCTCCGCTTTTCCGTTGGACATAGGAGCATAGGCGAGGACCGGTTTCCATGAAATTCCCTGTTGTACCATGAAGTTCTTCAACGCTGTCGCGCTGAAACATGTTGCGTTATCTGAGACTATGGTCCGAGGGGGACCAAACGAATGGATGATCTCCTCCTCCACGAACTTGACAACTTCCGCAGACGTAGCGGTCTCGGTTGCCCAAGCCAGGGGCCAACCAGTCAGATGTTCGACCGCTATCAGGATGTAACGTTTTCCGTTCTTCGTCTTGGGAAGGGGTCCCGCAAAGTCTATCGAGAATGTCTCAAAGAGCTGAGAGACTGGTATCACCGCCGTGCTCTTGTACGTTGGGATGGGCGCAGCCTTTTGGCAGCCTTCACATCCACGAACGTAGGCGTAGATATCACCATGAACTCCCGGCCACCAGTACCTGTCAAGGACGAACTGCTTCGTAGCTGTAGCGTCCCAGTGGCCAATGTCGTCATGCAGCGACTGCAATATCTGCAGTCGAGTCCCCCCGAGAAGGGATTGTTCTGATCCCATTCTTCATCCTGCGAAAAAGCCTTCCGTTCCAGGCGAGGAACTGCCTGGAGTTCTTCTTGATTCTGCGCCTCTGCGCAGCATCTTGCCCGACCATCTCTTCTCCTTCGAGATAACGGTACGTGTCCCGCACATGAGGTTCCATGTCTTCCAGTATATCTCCTTTCGCAAAAGCGGCAGCACATACCAGGTCCCCCTCATCCTCCTCGCGCCTGCCATCGTCTTTTCGTAGACGCGAGAGAAAGTCAGCGGCACAATTCTTTGAGCCGGGGCGGTACAATATCTCGAATTCGTACTCCGCCAGGAAATCCATCCAACGGGCAAGTCTACCGTGGATGTCCTTCTTTTTGAACGCATACTGAAGCGCTTGGTGATCCGTAATCAACTTGAACTTTTGCGTTGAGAGCAAATACACCCGAAATTTCTTTAGCGCGAAGATCACCGCTAATGCTTCTCTCTCACAGGTGGAGTACTTCTTCTCAGTCTCAGTCATCGTCCTGCTGGCGTATTGTATCGGGTGAACCTTCTTGTCTTCCTTCTTCTGAGCCAGAACTGCTCCCACTGCCACGTTGGATGCATCTGTCTCGACCACGAAGGGTTCGTCAAACTTCGGGAGCGCCAACAGCGGAGGAGACGTCACCCTCTTCTTCAACTCCTGGAAGGCGGTCCGCATCTCTTCCGTAAATTCAAATTCGACTTTGGTAGAAGTAGCAGCATGCAACGATGCAGAGACTTCTGCGAACTTAGGGATGAATCGGCGGTAATACCCCGCTAGCCCAAGGAAGCTTCGTAACTCCGTCTTGGCGCGCGGCTCGGGGGTGTCCCAAATGATCGATGTCTTCTCTGGATCCACCTCAATCCCTTTCTTTCCGATGACGTGCCCCAATAGCCTGGTCTGTGATTGCGCGAAGGAACACTTCGCAAGCTTCAACTTCAATCCACTGCGAGCAATCAGCTCGAACACTTCAATCAAGTGGTCAACATGGACGTCCAAGGACTTCGAAAAGATGACCACGTCATCAAGGTATACTCGGACGAATGGCAGGTCTCTGAATACGCCATCCATCATCCTTTGAAATGTTGAAGGAGCGTTCATGAGCCCGAATGGCATCACTTCAAATTGAAACGTCCCATACCGACAGACAAACGTCGTCTGTTCTTTGCACCATGAAGCCATTCGCACTTGCCAATAACCGGAGAACAAGTCCAGGGTAGTGAACACTTTGCTTCCTTCAAGGTCGTCGAATATCTCTTCCATTTTGGGCAACGGCCACTTGTCGGCCTTCATCACGCGGTTAAGCGCGCGGTAGTCAACACAGAAGCGAGGTTTCCCGTCGTTCTTCGTTGCGATGACGACCGGAAACGACCAAGGAGCTACAGAGGGGGTAATGATCCCTGCCTTCTGCATCTTGTCGATCTCCTCGCGCACTACCGCGTTGTGTCTCGGAGGGAGCCTCCGAACGGCGTGCGAAATGGGTCTGTCGTCATTTAACTCAAAAGAATGTGACACAGGGACATCTGCCGGCCTGAGGTCGTCCAAAGACCATGCAGCTATTCCCATACTCTTGATAGAACATATTATGCGGTCGGCGTTCTCTCTCCTGATATGGCTCAGCTTAGACATGAGAAGTTCCTCCTTCTCATCTCTCTTCTCTTTCTCATCCGCCGGCTCGTACTCTGAACCTTCCCCAGCTAGGTCCGGAAGTCCAGCATGAGGATCTTCGTCCTCAGTGACTGCTCCCGCCCAGGCAAGGTCTGGTTCAAACGTCACCCTTTCACGCAGCGTACCATGTTGGTGGTGAAGTGGGGGAGGCGGTTTTGGGGAGTGTGCCGTTCCGTCGTGAGGGTTGGCCGAGTGTTGTCCCCCCTTCCCCGCAGCGCCCGTCACCCTCTCTCTTTTATTTCTACGAAATTCCTTCCAGAAGCGTCCACGCGTCCGGCCCGGATTCCGCCGGGCCGTACGCGTGCGCTTCTCTAAAATTCAAATAAAATCTCGGACTACAGAATAAAATCTCCCTCTACAGTAAAATGCAATTTTTCCCTAAAAATATCTCACAGAGGTCTTTTAGATTTATGAGATAATAGTGAATGTTTAGTGCTATCTGTGTAACATCCTTTCAAGCCATAAATTGCCTTTTTCACCGCTATTTGTAGGGTATGTGTTGGGATGTGTTCAAAATATAGGTTCCTCTTAGCTTCAAACTAAATGTGATCCCTGGAATGTTTCTCTTCTGCGAAAGGAAACCAAACCTGCGATGGGTGAAAGTTCGCAGGCCATAATGACATTCCCATGTCCGTCTCAAGTCTGATAGCAAAGCACAGATGAATCCTTCACCTAATCCAGATATGCGGTTCACTGAACCAGGACTCACACCGGCGCATATATAATTTCCAGCTTTGGCGTAAAATGGCCGGTATTCGGCAGAATAACACATGTATTGTTTGAAATTAGCGCTGTCATGGAGCTGAAGACAATGAATTCGAACGAAGTCCAAGACATCGACCCTCAAAACTACACATGGCCTATAGCGGGACTCTGTTCTCTCCTTGATTCAAATGTAGTGCCACATGCATATCTGCCGGCAACTTAGAGTTCGCTGTCTTGCTATCCTACAGGTCAAATCCATGCACTATCTTGCGCATCACCCACACTGAAACTCGCTGGGTGGAATAGTCTCAACTTCCAAGTGTTTCAGGTCTTCAGGACGATACGGACAACTACCAATTAGGAAAAAAAGTCAGCTGCATCCATGAGTCCACACTCGAGACTGAAACGCACTGTTTGTATCATTCTGTTGAGCAATAGCAGCCCTTTGTCAGAATCTGTAATCATTTCTACCAGCTCACGAATTGGTAAAAGACAACACCGCTTCCTTTTACTTCACTAGTTTCTCATACTTCGATTGTTCTCATTGATAAGTTTTCACAGACCAATGGTTGGTAGTACCAGTAGTCCAGCTACTTTAGCAACATAGAAGTCAATACTTACAGCTTTCAGTTCCCGATGTGGGATGACAAATCCTATTGTTTTCATGTTCGGATACTACTTAAACCTTGCCACCGTATTTGACTTCTGACTTGGGGTCAGGAAGAAGTTTGTAAGAATTGCATGTTCTTCCTGGTTGTTTTTAGATATGTTTG